TGTGCATGCAAAATAAATTAGAAACAATTATAGAAAATTACATAAATCCTTCATAAAAAAAACAACATAATTTAATTTATTAAATTCGTTGATGGTTCGAGTTTACTCTTGACAGTGACAGCTTCACCAACCCGTGGTAACGTATAATGGAAAACTACACTGGCGACGATCGATCGCCATATTTTTTATATTATTATATAAATGTTATATTATGTATATATATTATATAACTGTCACTGGCCCAAGCCTAGTGGGCGCCATTAAGAAAATAGTAATAATTTATATTAATATATTACAAATAATACACCAGTACCAGTGTAGGTATAGTATGAAAAATTGAATATTTTTTAATATTAAAAACAGCCACATGGTTACTAACTATCGATTAGGTAGGACCACATCCCTCGTTGAGTAGCGTCAGTTTAAGGTTAATAAGGTTAACAATTCACGGAGCGGTTTCCAACCGCGCCCGCCGCGCCGGTGCTGCTAGACAGCGGTTTCATTTCAATACTCACGACCCTGCAAGTTTGTGCGGGCACGTAGCCGCTGCGGTTGCGGGCACGAAACCGTTGCGTTTGCGGAACGGACCGCGAAGTTAATGTAAAAATCGCAAGTCGCGCGGTTAATAGAGAACTCACCCCGCGTGCGCCTGCACCCCATTGCGCCTGAACCGACCGCGGACGACGACCAAAACCTGAAAACCGCTCCGTGAGTTCTTAGTGTAACGAACAATGAGTTTCAGCGCCATCTAACGTGTAATAGTCAGCTATTATATACTAGTAGCATTTTTACTAAAACGCCACCTGATGATGAATGGCTGAACCAGGATGAAAAAATGCTGAAATATTGTAATCTTACTCAAGTTTAATTTTGTTACATTTTAAAATTGTGTTACGTCGTTTTCACGTTTTAAGCCCTACCCTTTAAGTGATGGTAGTAGATAATAGAGCGTAAAGTTTGAATTGCACACAAGCTAAAAAATGGCGACATCGGTACCCCATCTTAGATGGCGTCATTACACATCTCCCCTTTTTTCCTATATCTATGGTTAAATCCATGGTGATGAAGACAACCAATTCCTAAAATGACGCCATAATGTAAAACCAAGTGACAGTCAGATGAAACAAACTGTATTCTACAGCCAAAGAATTCCAGTTTCAAATGATGTAATTACTTTTTAAATATTCTTCATATAAGTGGCCAGTTCCGGAAACGTATAGAGCGCCGTATGCATTGACTTACAATTATATGGACGTCGGGTCCGCGCTAAAAAGTGTCCGAACTTATAGGGCGTTAAAATCGTATACAGAGCGTCATTCACGCTTTAGTCTTCGTTTGTTCGACTGACAGCGAAGCAAGCAAAATTAGACAGTACTGCGATGACATTACAATCTAAATTCAACGTTTTAGCTTTTTCATATTCCTTTACACGTTTAAATAGGTTGACTTGGGACATTTTTTTCGTGGTTTTTGTATTAGACTCGTCGTCCATTTATTTGTAAGTCAATGGCCGTATGTATAACATTATGGTATGCAATAAAGCATTCAGTATTGAGTTTTATTCATAACCATTTAACATTAATTCCGGTTGTATAAATAACACGGAACAAGAACCCTAGAAATAATAACTTATTTTTCTCTAATTTTGCTCACTTTTTATTAGCATCCTAAGCCCATTGTTACAGTGCTCCTCAATAGTATTGTGATAATTTGAAATAAATGGTTCTAACAATGTGGGTCCAAGTACCGTTAATGATCCTTGAGAAAGAGTTCGTCCACATAAGAAGAAAATTACAGGTACATGGGACTTGTCAATTTACATCTCAGGGTGTCGGGGCAGTGGCAGTGCCTGTAAGATCTTTGCGATTTAAAGCTCTGAGTGGCACTGCAATTGTTATGGATAGGCGTCACTTGCTATTAAATAAAGATTATGATTACAGCTTCTGCATACGTTAAAACACTACTTTTCTAATCTATGGCAACAGGTTAACACACACAATAAAATTTTTAATTAGAAGTTAAGAATGATATCTTTCAACGCTTATATATTAATTCAGTAAACACTTTGATTACGTCTATGTCCATCATGCAACTACGTCAATAAAAGCCGTTGCACATTTGGTAAATTCAAGCGTCTTTCTTCACCCTTCCTCGCTTCGTGTACCTATTACAGTATATTATTTTTATATATTATTATTATCACAAAAATCAGGCACACTTCGGACACTCCATACAACAGTCGAAACTTTTTTACCTACTACTACTACATACCTAAAGCAAGGCGCTATCTGCACACGCGCAAATGTGCCTGAAGTGAATGAAGTTTTTGTCATCTTCGTTTCATCTTTCGAAAAACAAAAGAAACTCCTGTTGTTATCCTGTTTTGATAATAATACACAGCTGTATACAACACAAATCACGACCCTTTACAAATAGTAACGTACAATAATGTTACATATTAACGTACAAGTTTCGTAATGAATAAATGAATAATCTCAGTACAGAGTACTAAAAAAACCGACCTCAAAAGTACGTGGAATTACGTCTATTTGCTAAGTTTTATTGAAATATAGTTCGCCAATATACAGGACTTGACACTGGAAATAATAAAAATATGTTCTCACTACGACACTACTCAAAGTACGAGTATATTGAGAGAAAAACGCCTTGAATTGGAGAAATAGCAAAATCAACCATTAAAGTAATTGCTCCTAAATTAAGGTTAGGCGCTATTTATAAAAATGAATCTTTATGCGTGAACAGCCATCCTTCGAGGTGGATGATTTTCTTCAAAATGAAATGGGACCACTATGGAAGTACCCCCTTTCCAACAAAAAAGAATCATGAAAATCGGTTGACAAAGAGTTATCGCGTAACATACATACAAAAAAAAGAGAAGAAAAAAGAACATACAGTCGAATTGAGAATCTCCTCCTTTTTTGAAGTCGGTTAAAAATATTCAAATATTAAAGCCGTCTTAGCACGAAAACGACTCACCGACAGCCTTGTTGTCGTCCAGTCAATGTGACCGTCAATGTGCGGGGCGTGGAGAGGTATCTAAATTTAGGGAGGGGTGGAGTGTCCATTCCCATTACTTTTTTGTTCTCTGTCTGAGGCGCACTGCCACTGCCACTGCGCCCGTCACCCTGTGACATAAGTTGACAAGTCCCATGTTATCCCAATATAATTAAAAGCATTGTCAAGTATGAAGCGTATTACTTGTTTGACAGTAATTGTTTAATACCATAGTTCTTTTTATTTTAAAAACCACCGTTTCGGACCCTTTAATGATCCCATAGGACAGCCATGACAATTTATAATGAGTACTATACTCCGTAGAATTTAGCTTTCTTAAGCAGAGATAGAAAAATGTGCGTATGTTTTTAAACGTTAAAACGTTTTTTTTTAATAGCGTGCTTGTACACACGCCAGCAGATCAAGCTACACATTGACGTATCTGTTCCGTTGTACTGGAGGCGATTTTCGAACAAAAATGTGCAGTCTGATGAGCCGTTGACCGTACACTTTTCACTTACGCTTTTTAGTTTGAAGCTTACAAAGTCTTGCTTACAATAGACTTGTTGATAGCGAAAAGCAAGAGTAGGCCATTAAATGTTTTAAGATAAGTAAGTTTATTTGTAAAACACGAGTTTTATTTTTATTTACAAAATTATTATTCACGTTGACGAATTAAATTTGTTTAGGAAACATAGATGGCGGGACCTCGTGGGACTTGGAACATATAAGCACGTGGCCAGTAAGTTGCTACGCACGTTGATATACAATGAAATAGAGGACTTGCTGAAGGAGATGCGCTAATTCACTGCCTAAATCTTTTGTACGTGTATGCACGCGAACACGCATACACGCGCACACACTCACACTCTCACACACACACACACACACACACACACACACACACACACACACACAC